ATTTTTAGAAAGAACTGAATTCTCGAGATGGAGCTTGGGATAAAATCTGTACTGAGAGAGATCCTTTTATCCTCTGTAGCTTGATGTGGTCCTGGATAGAGCAACTGAAAGAACCCATTATATCCAAGGAAGATATTGACATGTTGGCAAAAAATTGCACAGAATCACAAGAAGCACTTAACTTACTGAAAAAGGTAGGCATTATATACGTCAAATTGCTATTTTACTGCCAAATATATTTCGTTAATGTATTTTAAACTATTTGCTTATAGCCTTTAGGCAAGGAAATTGCACTTTTAGAAGGCAATTTCAATTTTTAAAAATCAAAATTACGATTATTTTTGTAGGAGTCGTAGTCAGTGCCAGGATGATGAACATTCTAAGAAAAACTGCAGATCTTACCTTTGAGCTCTGTTCCTTGGAAGCTTAAGAGCAGCATATTTACCTGCAAATTCTGCAGCTGAGGCAAAGGCAAGAAGCTTTCTCCATGGATGAACTCCATGGATGGCTTTTGTTAATGTCAAATCTGGCAGGTGTGCTAACAGTTGTCATATTTGCTGTGCAAACATCTTAATCCATCAGCTTTGGCAGAGTTGGAACAACAAGTGGGAAGAATTTGCCAATTCAAAGAATCAGAAGCCAAGCCAAGTTCCATTACATAACTCAAAACTCTGGCCATGTGTTTTCTGAGATCTCTATGCAAAACAGGTCCTTCTGATCCAAAACTATTGAATTGTGTTTTCTCCAAAGGGCTAGTTGTAGGATACATAAAAAAAAAATTATTCTAGATATCTGAACTATACAAGTTCACCTCCTAATTCTTTGGGCATTCTTTGCTTCTGAAATATGGAGAAAATAGAGCCCCTTTTAACAGCCTCCTATGGCCCTAGTACTTCTTCCACTCAATAAGTGGACAGAACCCTCTGTGCTCCTGCCATTTTCACCACATTCAGAATTCTCAATTTCATCTCAAAATAACATGTTTCTTCCTGAAGACACAAAATTCTTCCATCTTATCATGGTTTCATGGTTTTATCTTTACATTTTTGTCAAGTACTTGACAGCTGTTATAAATGTGTGGGAAAGTTTTTTTTTTTTTTTAAATAATTACTGTTTTTATCTCACATTATCTTATCCTTTCCTATTTAGCTTCCCAGAAGTCCCTGAGGTAGTTACTTGTTCTTTTAACTAACTGAACTTCTGGAAACTTCCTTTCATGGTGAAGGAGACCTGCCAGGAGAGGCAGATCAGACCACTTTAGTTGGGGATAAAAGTTTTAAGCATGCATAGTGCTCTGGGCTGATGAGGGCTGATCTCACCTTTACTGTGCAACTTCACACGAGCGCTACTGTGCGGAGGAAGCGTGTGTCCAAGTCGAGTCTCCAGGTGAATGCCCGGCCTCCTGGAAATTTCCAGAGCAACCTGTGGGATGCTCTGCGAGAGAAGACTTTCTCCCATCATGACTGAAAAAACAAAAACAACAACAACAAACTCCACACATGTAGCAGCTGTTAAGGCTTCTGAATATCCCCTCCCCAACACCTACACCTCAAAGTTTCAATACAAGAAGGCACAGTCTGATATTTAAACAGCAATTAACAAAAATCGCAAGTTAGATGTTTTTAATTGAAAATATTTCCTCTAATGAGCTGCTGTTCCATTTATCCACCAGGAACAGTGTCAGACTATCCTCTGTATTCTGAATTGTGTGGTGAACTTGCAAATGCTGCCAGCTGATGTGGAGGAGGCCTTACTTGCTCGTGCTATTAAAGCTTTCACTAAGGCGAGTACCCACTTGTCCATGACTTTGTATTTATTCTTTATAAATTGTGAAGGAGCAGTATTCTGTGTTTAAAAGTACAGCAGTTCCTTCACAGTTATTATACTGATGTTTATTTACTTCAAATTTTATATTTTACAATTATCAGCCTACATAAAAGATTGGAAATATTCCCAACAAAATTCAGTTCTGCCATCTTAATCCTTTAGTATTGTTTGTGTACATCTAGATGACTTCCAATTCATGAACTATTTCAATCTGGGGAAAGAATGGTGAGAATAATTAGCCATTGGAGAATTTACCAAGGGCTTCGGTAGCTTTCCTCCTACTTGGCATCTTTCCAAGAAATTAAACCATTTTCTGCAATTATGTTGTAATTCAGTTATTTTGGGGACCTGGAATACAGGTTATATATAATAACAGGTACCTCTGCTTTTGGAGTTATCTAGTAAAGAAAAGCTAAGCTGTGAGCCGCTCAGCTCACAGTTGCTTTCTTCTCAGATAGAGCAGGTGAAATTATTCGGAAAACAAAATAAAGTTCATCATATTGCTTCACAAACTCTTGTAAATCTACAGATTTGCAACCTGTTAAAACAAACACAGCATTTCTCCTTCTGCCAGTTTTACTATTTAGCATAAAATTGAAAACAAGCATTAAATGCATACTTTCCATGATACGCTTGAAAACTAAAAATTATTATTTTTAACAATGTTACTCATCTACTTTGCAATTTGTTATATGGCATTTAATAATTGAATTTTATATTCTTCCTTTTATTAGACAAGCTTTGATTCTGAAAACGGACCGTATGTTTACAATACCCTTAAAGAAGTATTTAAACAAACTCTGGAAGTAAAAAGAAGAAAGCTCAAAGAAGGAACAGAAAATCCTTCTTGATTTCTACACAGCTATACTGAAGAATTAAATGGTCGTACCAAATTATTTTTCACTTTCCAGCTACTGTATTTTGTGCTATTTGGCATGATTTACCTAACTTTAGATAACAAGAATTATTAACAAACATTTTATTTTTTTAAAAGGAGCTTTAGTGACAACTGTTTTACCTACACAGTTGTACAGAACAGCTCCTGTGTGACTGTACTATAGTATCTGGTTTCAAGTTCTTTGCTTTTATATTGTGAACTGTTCTCTTGCTTTTAAAGGTATTTATTGATTTAGGAATCTCTGTTATTAGCATGCTACATTATTTTCAAGTTATATGGCTGCCATAAGTTCAGTGCCACAGTACACAATGGGTTGAGTTTGTATTTATATATTAACATTGAGTATGTTTACATTAAAGTTATATGATTTTACTTTGCAGAAAATAAATATTCATTGTACTTAAGCTCCTTTTTCTTTTAGAAAATTTAAAATAAAGTGTAATAATGAAAGAACTGTGAGATTTGTTATTAACAGCAGACGATAATTTCCCATAGATATTTTAATCATAGTCACTGATGTGTTTGTAAAGGATGCTACAATACAGAAATAAATTGAATAAATTAGCAAAGTTTTACCTTAGAAATTTCAGAAAAAAAATGCTAATGTATTGTTTTTAATGCAAAATTGGTTAGGTCATCTTAAATGCTTTGCTTTGAATAAAAGAAAAATTTTACCTTACTAGTTAAACTCCTATCTTAATTTAAATGAAAAAAAATAATTATCAAACCTTAGCGATGGTATTATTCTCTTTAATTACATTGAGAAAAAATATTTAAGTGTAATAGAATAATACTCAAAAATAATTAATGAAAATCTTATCTACAATATACTTCATATAAATATATGTATCTAATGAAACAGAAACAACTGGAATATATAAATGCAATTTTTGAGTATGGGCTTCAAATGGATAGTAGTATGCTAGTTTTCAGAATATACCATTGATCCAGTTTGATATACTTAAGCAGTTAAATGAAAATCTGTCCATTTTTCTGTTTTGTTTTGCTGTATAAATGACTAATACTCAGAATAAAAAGAAAGAGCAGTGTTTAAGTTAGACATGCTTCCACTGTTCAATGATTACATCCAATTCTGAGCCAAACAAGTACTTTAGTAGAGTGAGCCTTGAACAAGCACCCTGGAACGTAAACTGCTGTGCAGGAGTCACACGAAAGGCGGCTGTGAGGAGCCGAGGCCGCCACGTGCAGCACAAGCAGCACGGCTGAGCAGCCACACCTGGGAATGCCAAGGTGCCTTCACAGATGTCTCAGGTTCATAAGAAATCATTTCAGCCTACTTCAGTTAATTCAGAATAGCTAGCACCAATTCCTGATATTACAGGAGTTTAGAAACCAACTCAGAATCGTTTAAATTACATTAACTAACAAGGTCTTTGACACGCCATTAAGTCTAGCTAGAACAATCCTACAGTAGTTCATGTCAGATTGGTATTTGAAAAATTACCCACAGGCTTTCCACGGAGATGGAGGTTGTAAACTGGCATATTAGAGAAGAGGTTTTTTTTTGTTTGTTTGTTTGTTTGTTTGTTTTTTTAGTTCACCGACTGATGCGGCCACAGTCACCTCCAAACTAGCTACCACTTCTGACTGAACACATAACAAGAAACAAACAAAAACAGTCCATCTAGATGATGAATGAAGCCCACAAACGAGCAGCAGGCTGTTAATTGATTTCCCACCTGGGAGGTATAAACACTTAACCACTACATTTTTACCACACCATTTCCTCATGGATTAAAGCTGAATCCCAAGTTTGTGATTGTGAGTCCATCTTCGTGACAGTGCTGGAAGGTCCCTAGCACTTACCACCCAGCCTCTGCCTGCACTGCCACCACCCCGAGGTCCCAAAGAGGAGAGTTACACACACAAACGCTTCCGTGTGCTCTCCTGCAAAGGAGGAGAGGAGAGCAGCTCTCCCCTATTTCCTCTCCTGCTCTCTAAGGCTCTGCAGTCCTACTCATGCTTCACTCACTAGCAGCTGCATAAAAGCTTTTCCTTTGGCTCGTACAGCTGCTGCCGCTGGCAGAGCATCTGCAGGGTGGGATTTCCAGGCAGCGCTGGGACCAGTCTGGACCACTGACCCTTGCAGGAAGGGGCTAACCCTGTTCTAGAAGGAAATAAACAGGGGCTGAGCTATTGCAAACAGAACTAGCAATAGATAACGTCACCGGAGGCAACCGAACAATCCGTATGTTTCACTTTTTTCTTACCTTAATTGAGGCCACAATTTCTCTGCTCCCTCTGCTGGTTAGGGACACGAGCCAGCTGCAGCACACTGTGAAGTTACAAATTGCAGCCTAAGGCTTTGGACTAATCCTCTTAAGTGCCTACACCTATTTAGCTGCTTTACAGCTATGTTTTTAGCAATAGCTAATTTCATATTGAATCAAATTATATATAGATAGATATATAAAAGAGAGAAATTCAATAGCTGTATTTGATTTGCAGAAGATTCATTCACCTCCAGGAAGTCAGACTTAGAAAATGCAGGTGGACAAGGTTCACCTGCTCTTTAATCTGGCTCAAAACAACAACAGGAAGGGGAGTAGGGAAGGTGGGGAACATCACTGGAATTACTGGAGTAATCTTAAATATCCCAATTTTATCTACAAAAGTGGACAATGAGATGACACATTTCTCAAACCCCCACTGTTTTGTAAAAAAAAAAAAAAAAAGAATCTAGATCTTGCATATCTGCATATCCTCAGATTACCTAAGCCAAATAAAACCACTCCTTCAACCTCAGGCCAGCACATATTAATTTACTGACGTCGAATAAATTGTTGTTATACCCTCTACACGACAAAACATAAAATAGAGAGCACTACCCAAAAGATCTTGAAGAATCTAGAAGGCATCTCAGTGAACATTTTGTCACGGCATGGTAGAACTAAGCTGTTTTTTCTCTGTGGTTTTAAATTTCAACACAAATTACCTTTTATACTTTTATAGAGCCATTAAGGCGGATTATGAGCTGTTACTCAAGACTGTTTTGTACAGCTGTACCGAAATGTTAATATCACATCTGATACTTGACTCACACTGGAGGTTGCTGCCGCCTGCCACGGCTCTTCCCCTTCCGCGCCGACGGTCAGCGCGTGCTCGGCCTGGCGCCTGGGCCAGATTTAAGTAACCACCAAGGACTTCATTCGAACGCCACAATAACCATCGGAGTTAGCTCTGGAAACGGGCAGAACACATGGCTGTGCCTGCTCATTTACCAGGTGATTTGACTCCTGAACCCTCATAAGAGCTACCCACTGTCAGCTGACAATTAAAAAGCTTATACTTTAATAAGACTAAGAACAATAAGAACAACAAAAAATTATAGGTAATAATTTACCACCATAAGGAGCTTTTTAATTGACATGCAAACCCTTTCTAATTACAGCAATAGACATTGATTGAACAAGTGTTAAACACCCCAAAAAGTGCTTAAATCAAGACCCAGGTGTTCCAAGAGAAGAACTTTCTGGTGATTTTGTGCATGTGCTCAGTGTGATCAGGGATGCAGGAGATCTGTCAGCATCTCAGAAGGGATCTGTTGATGCTGCTGCCATGGAGATGTTCCTGCAGAGCCCAGGCGACGTGTTCCAGAGCTCTGGAGCCGATGGCTGCCGGCAAAGAGGGACTGTTCCCGACAGCGGCCAGGAAAGGGTCTTCCTCATGCGCTGAAGCTGCACGATGGAGACTCTAAGAGAGGTGCTCTCATGCCCCGTGTGCTTAGACCTGTTCACGCCACCAATCCTGGTCCTGTCGTGTGCACACAACTTCTGCAAGCCATGCTTGGAAAAGATCCTGATCCACCAAAACTGCAACCATGTCAATGGGCATTTCCATTGCCCTCTGTGCAGAAAGGTAAGTAGAAATTATCCCATATTCTTTGCATATAGAGGTGAGCAGATGTGACACTTTGTAGTTAGAAAACTTCTGTTTTAATCTGCCCCAGCTTTCCACTGGAGGACCACATTCCTGCAGGGAATTCAACACCACAGCGTATTGACAAGAATGCAACAAGTTGTTTGCAATTGCACCTACAAGCACAGGATCCACATTATCGGTCTCTGAACACAGGAACCTGGCCTCGCAATTCTTAAACTCCTACACAAGGAAGATGTGCAAATACTCTATACTATCTTGTTTAAACATTTCCCTGGATTCTGACTAAATGATGTAGTTAGTTACCCTTCTTTCCAGTTCAGAATCAGCAGATTCTCATGACTTAATTTGAAACATACTTGGTTTAATAACCACATTTTATAGACTTCACTGAGACCCACTATGAAAGCTTTTCTTAGGGATAAATTCTGCAACCATTAATACACAGCGTTCAAAGTCTTCTCAGTCCTTTTGGAGGCACAATTCGAATCCAGTAAGAATTGAAAACACCTATATTCCTTACCCTATAACACAAGTAAATCTACTGACTTCAATAGAAGGTCAAGGAATGGATTCTCATAAAGCCTTTAGGATATATCTCTGAATATGAAAGTTTTAAAAATACAGTTTTTACCTGTTAACAAAAACTATTGAGGTTGTTTCTACTTAATTTCCTGAATTCTGTATTTCAGAATAAACAATTCAGTTCCCACTAGTTTGGGGTAGGCACTTCACACACAAAGTTAATGTACAACCACCTGATACTTAGGAGCCTTAGAGTTACAAAACACACTTTTGAATGAAACCACTCCCTAGATGAGCCACCTACAATATTTCATCTCAAATATAATCACAACAATGTAAATACCAACTAGAATGATGCCTATTTTTTTTTCTACATTATACTAATTGTCATGAAAACAAAGCACTCCTACATTCCTCAAACTATTTCACTATTCCTCTCACTTACAGGTCATTTACCTAAGAGGCAGAGGATTAGTCGGATTGCCAAGAAATAGTCTGGTTGAAAGTATAATAGAGAAATTTAAAGATGAGCTTGAAAAAATCCACAATCAGGAGAAAACACAGTTGTTGCAAATGTGTGAAGAACATGGTGAAAGCTTGAATTTGGTATGAATTGCTATTTATCCTTGTTCTTTTTAGTAATTTTCTCTCTCTCATGTAAACGTTAAGTACACACTGAGTACAAAATGCATGTGCTAGAAAATCTAGAGAAAGGTCAATACTTAATGTCCTTATATATAAGGAAGTTCTTATAATAAGAAATTGTACAAAATTAAACTATAACAATTTATTCCAAAGTTGCAACAAAACAACAAAAAAGAGTGAATAACAGATTGAGTAATTTCTTACCCAGGTTAATTTTATCCAACCCACTAACTGGGAATCTTCTACAATCCCAGCAGGCAGCTTCAGAAACTTCAAAAAAGCCTTTGTAAAACTGTTATCAGTTATAACAGCTATATCTATAACTCAGATATAGTCTTGTAGACAGAATAGCTACAATTCTGAATTGTAGTTACAACACTGAATACAATACTGACACTATTCCTAAAAATCATGACCAAGTTGTACAAGACAAGCATCACAAGATGCCCTTTTTAGGCATCACACTAAAATGAATAAAAAGAGAAGACAAGCACTTCAGCTTTACCAGCAAAACTCAGTTTTGGCAGTTCTAACAGTATCTAACAGCAGACAGAACAACAGGCTACTTGGGCAACATGCCTTAAATACAGATACTAACCCCCTATGTATTTTTTTTTCTTCTCAGATGTGTGTGACTGATGATGAGCCAATATGTGCCATCTGCAAACTCTTTGGAAAACACAAGCATCACAATGTTGAGAAAGTATCAGAAGTTTACAATACCAGAAAGAAATCATTTATAAAAAATTTACACTTAGTGCATAAGAAATCTGAAGACGCTAGGAAGGTATACTAGAAAACACTCATTTGAGATTATACTAACAAAATTAAATGGATGTTTGACAGAAGATTAGAGATTTAGAGATGCATCTTAATTCTAATATTAGATACTCAATTTGTAGATTGTCAAAAGAAGGTTGGGTTGTATGTGATAAAATGGCTTAGCAGAAAGAAAAAGAAAGCATCCCAACCCTAATTTAGATTGTATTGTAGTCCAAAAGAAAGCATCCCAACCCTAATTTAGGTTGTATTGTGGCCAAACCACGTACTCTTTGTCTTTTGTTCACCTAGATATAGCCTATAATATTTGCACAATTAATTAATGTTCACTAAACAGATGATGAAACCTGCTAAGATCAATTATGACCTGCTGAGATAAATTCCTGATATGCTCTGCTCCCATCTTGCTCATTGGCAGCATCTCCAAAGCTTTGCTGCTTGCCATATGACTTCCCTGCTGTACTGACCTTGGCAGAGATGCGATGCAGCTGACCACAGTTCCCAACTCCATAAAGACAACGTCACTGAAAAGGCACTGGGTTTTCATTTGCATCCCAGGATGGGCAAATAGGTTGCTTTCCTAGAAAAAGACATGCAAAGCCAACAGTAAAATAGCTTCTCTCAGTGCACTGATTGCAGAGCCCCCTCCTCGGCTCTCCTCAGTGCTACTTTGCAAAGGAGCTTTCAGCCCATTTTAATTTTAGTTGTTTTCAGATCTTCCTAAAGAAAACAAATCATATTCCCAAGGAAAGATGATTCAAGAGAACAATTTTGGAAAAATGGCCTGCAGTTCAATACACTTTCCAACCTAGTGCCAAAATACCAAAAGTTTTCAAAATGTATTTACTTATATTTTAATTTGGTTTTGAACACTAATCGCTCCCAACCTGAAAAGCTTCAGGAGCCCAGATCTTGCCCTATATACCTAGGTACAATGTTTCTTTGAAAGGTAAATATCTCATGCACTTAATTATTCTGAACACATTCATGGCCACTATGATGCACTACTTAACTTTCCATCAATTTCACACAGGAAACCGAAAAGCTGATTCATGAACTAACAGCAGACGCTACAGACACCAAAATAATGATCGACACAGTTGGGAGCAGTTTGCTGAAAGGGATAAGGTACAGAATGGCAGACCTGCAATCCAAGCTACACAACGACTATTCTACAAAACTGGAGAAACTGCAAGTACTCTCAAATGAAACCGAAGCTCCTGGACAGCTTTATCTGCAAATGAAGAATCTCCTGGAACAGCACTTAAATTCTGCCCAATTTCTACAAGAGGACAAAAAGCTCAGGGAAAAGATAGAAAAAATGCTAGAAGGAAAAGCCCTGTGTCAGGACCCGCCAAAGTACCAGATTTCAGTGAGACAGTATTTTGAAGAGCTGATCAAAGGCATCAACATCCAGGACTACCTGTCCATCACGTGCGAGGAGACGCTGGCGAGCCCCGCCGAGCCCAGCGAGCTCTGCAGGTCCGAGTGCCCGGCCTTCGTGTTCGCGGGGCAGAGCCCCGACCAGTTCTTCTGCACACAAGTGCTACGACTATTCCAGAAGTCCAACGACGCGAACCAAGATCCGCTTGAGAACACGACCCCCACCACACCGCAGCACTAACGGAAGCACTGGCATTGAAAAATTATTTTTAAATGTTTGTTGAAAGGTGAATTGAAGTACTATCATCTCCTGAAGTTTAGCTTTAATCCCCAGTCATATGTGCTGCCTACATAGTCCATAAAACAAATAAAGACCACCTTTAAGAGTAAATAGAATGAGATTTATTTAACTTGCATGCTTTGTTGCATACTTTATTGCACAAATCAACATTTATTTGGAAGGCAGCAGGAGAACAGCCTAAGGCACTGTAATACAGATCACTAAGGTTTTATAGGAACCTGGGCAAAAGGAAATTCATCTTTTAAATTTGACAGGTACAGAGCCTAATTACCATCTTTTCTTTAAAGAAGTTCTCTAATTTTTAAATTGATTAATACAAAGACTTATCTGCTCCTCAGAGCAATGTCTGTTCACTCTGCACATTTTAATTTTAGAAAAAAATACATTACAGAATTTACTCACTTGTCCTTTGTTTACCTACTTTAATTCACAAGCAGACATTCATTCACCAAAAATGCCATCTGACTATTCCTTCACATTTCAGGAAGTTACATATGACAATTTTGAGTTCACATGCACCAAAGAATTAGTTCTTGGTATCTGTCATACTGCATGTGCTTAATGAAGACACAGATCTTGCACCAAATTCCAGCTGATGCATTCAGTCTGGTTTCTAAGCTATATGTCCATCCATCTTCATCTAATTCCTTGCAAACTTTACCGATTCCAATGCAGTTTATTTGAAAGATGCCAACTGTAAAGAGTGTCAAGTTCCTACAAGCTTCACGATGATCTTCTCCAAGTGCTCGCTGTGAACAGGGAGAAGCGTAAGGGTTTTATTTATTTTTTAAAGGATCACAAGATACACAAATGACCTAACTGTGCGGGGGGGAAAAAAAAAAAAAAGCATCAACTGTAACTTGCACATTACTAGGTAACAGGCAAAAAAAAAAAAAAAAAAAAACACAAGAAAGAAAACAGAAAACAACAGGTTTCACTATCTCCAGTGCTTTGGGATCAAACACTTCCATACTCACAGGCTGAGGGGCCTGTCAGCTATGTTGTCAGCTCTTCTGATGTATTTCTCTTCAGCATTTTGGTTGCCTTCTAGCTTTGTACAACTAGCAGACACATGTGCACTGGCATTTTTCGCCTGCATGTCAGTCATGCAGAATGACTACAACTGGGACCAACCACAAACACTGTCGCCCTTTTTATTAAGTGCTTCTTTCTTATGGCTTGTTAAGGTGCTACCATAAGACACTTTGAGATGCTTTTTAACTGTAAAGAAATTTGTTTTCAAAAGGTAAGCAGAGTTTCAGAAGACTAAAGTTACAACTTGTAATTATCTGCTGCAACTTGTAATCATCAACTACTCGGCACTGCTTTGCTGTCATTTCTATTTTTTTCTTTTGATGTAACTGAAGCTCAAGTTATGCAGAAGTTTTCAGCAGCTAATGGCAAGGTACCAACTCGCATCTGCTTACCAGTTACAGTCAGAACTCAGACCTTCTACATTATCAGTTTCCAAGAGAATTTAATTTGATAGATTAACCACAGAAGGTGGTTTATACATCTGAACTCTCTTCTTCTGAGCTTGCACCAACTGCATTTGCCTAGTGTTTGCTTTACCTTTTCTGTATTATGATCCACTCTTAACTGAGGAGAATTAGGCTCTCCAATTCCTACCTGTCATAAAGAAAGAAAGACTAAAGAGAGAAGAAGTGCTTGGCACTACTTCACACTTTGACAGGCTCTTCCTAGGAAATCACTTTTCAAGACACATAGATTCAGTGTCCTTCAATCTGCTTTTAAAATAGTTAGTACTATTGAAAATGGCCCTTCCAGTCCAGCACTGTATACATTCCAGTAATACAGATGGACTAGCCTTTCTTAATAAAACACTTCAGCTAATCAAAAAGTGATAAAACAATTCATTTTGGGAAGAAAAATTGACACTTCAGTAACTGTCTGGTGTCTGATTAGGCAGAACGTGGAATTGTTCTCTCAGCCAAAAACAGTAACGTTTTCCAATTATGGGTATAAAATGAGCAACGGCCGCCAGTGAATCAGGGCGCATCTGGCAAAGTGGCAGCCTGGAAGAGCAGCGTCACTGTGCAAGTATTTCCTGCTTTACAAATAAATGTGTCATCTATAGAATGCCTCATTTTTGAGGAATGCCTGTGTACCCCTACTCACGTATCTGATAGCTGGAATCAGCTTTCTTATTACAGCACCTCGCTCCATCAGCGCATCCAGGCGCGGCGTCGCTCTGCAGCAACACCCGCTCCAGCCCCTGTAACACCCAAATGCTGCAAGTGTGACCCGGGAGCCACACACGCCCCTCAGGGCACGCATGCGACTCGTGAAAAACAACACACGATAACTACTGCTTCTGACAAAGTTTATCCCTGTGCCAGCAAGAATTACTACTGTGCCCACGCGAAATGCCTGGTAAGACGGTACTTTGTTGCAGAACATTTCCTTGGACTGTCTCTTTCTTGGGTATTCGCACCCCATCTTGTGACCTGCAGGGGAACTGCAGCAGCTACCCTTAGACGTGCCAGGCGTCACAGACGTGACCTGATCAAAGTTTCTGTTACTGACACGAGCTGTAACCTCTGCATCCATGACAGGATTTGTCAGATAATACCTACACATTAGGGCTAAAAAGTAATGGAGCAGCTGGCAGTGTTTCAGCCTTACTGTGTGGGATGTGGGGTCGGCTTTGGCTGTTGCAGCATCGCTGCTGCATTTGCTCCACGTGCAGAAAGGCTGCCCGACGCATCTGCTCCGCGTGCGCCTCGCTGAGGACAAAACATGCTCCCTCCTAACAGCCGTGGTACTGCTTCGCTCTGCATGAAATGAGGCAGCTCACCACATGCAAAAGGAATACAGATGGTAAACTTCACAGAGATTAAGAACTCAAAAAAATAGTTTCTAATTTTATTTTTTCTCCCCCAAAAGAAGAAAACAGAAAACCCTTACTTAATAACCTGAGCAGACTTCTCTGGGCATTCAGGATGGAATAAGGACAGGCTTGCTCCATCCTAATGACCTTAAGAAAATTAAGGGACACAGAAAAGAGACATGTTTGAAGTGGTTTTAAACACACAGTTTCCCTCCCTGACCTATTACTACTCAAGAAGGTTCTGATATTGAAAACATATTGAATAAGCTGAAAGACCCACTCCTGCTCTGAAAGACTTCCACGTGCACTCTCTGAGTAACACCAACACAATGAGGAATCCATCAGGAATATAACCAAAAAAAGGTAGTTTGATTAAGCTACCAACAAACCTGCATAACAGCCTTAAGTCAACTGCTTCTGAGGCAAAGCTAAATAAAATTCAAATACAATTTGATACAAATAAACAATTCAGCCCTAGAGAGAAACGTACACAACACTGACAAGATGATGACAATACCCCGGAGTGTCACCGACACGCTAAGGTCACCACATCCACCCACAGAGGCCAGCAACATTAACGGAAGGATCACCTACAAGAGGGGGCTGGTAGCGAGCCCCAGGTCCCAGCAAGAGCCTTCACTGGAGGGTAGGGAAGGATGAAGAGGTAGGAGGGGAACGGATGAGCACACAGTGCTGCCACTGGCGCTTCCCAACTCACAGGAGTCCAACCTGCGAAAGAAAGCTATCAGCAAAGTGAATGAGGCTCCAGCTCCGCTACCAAGTGAATCATCTTTTTAAACACACTACTGCAGAACACGATGAATGCAGAAGGGTCAAAGCCCTGAAGGCGAGGAGCCTTCAGCCTGGCGGAGCTGGAGGCAAGAGGAAAACGGGAGCTCC